AAAAGAAGGTGTGGGAAAAAAAAAGCACAGAAGTGTGAACAGCTCCACATATTCTGGGGAAGAGGAAAAACTGTTGCATCGCTGTGTTGGGGAAATGAAGGTTGTTGGACCGGAAATGGTGAAGCAGACTAGACAGGGTCCTCATTGCTATGCTAGAGATTTTGTACTTTATTTTCTGCATTATGGGGAATCTGTGTGTGTATATGTTTATGTGTGTTTTAAATAGCTTGAGTTATAAGCTACATATCACAAAATTCATTCATTTTAATTGTACCATTAGGTGACTTTTAGTAAATGTGTGAAGTTTCACAACCATCAACATGATAAAGTTTTGGAACATTTCCATTAACCCCCAAATCCTGTGTGCCCATTTGTAATCAGTGCCTCTTTCCAGCCCCAGGCAACTATTAATCTACTTTCTGTCTCTATAGGTTTGCCTTTTCTGGACATTTCATTTAATGAAATCATACAATATGTTGTCTTTTGTGTCTGCATTCTTAGCGTAATGTTTTAAGGATCATCCATGTTGTAGCATGTATCAGTATTTATTCCTTTCTGTTGCTCAGTAGCAGCTCATTTATGGATATGCCCATTTTTTTTATCTATTCAACATTTGATGAACATTTAGATGGTTTCCACTTTTGGCTTTTCTGAATAGTGTTGCTGAGGGCAACATTTATGTGAACATTTTATGTGTACAAGTCTTTGTGTGAACTTTGCATTTTTATTTCCCTTGAGTAGATAATCAGGAGTGGAATTGTTGTATGGTAAATTTATGTTTAACTTTTTTTTCTATGTTGCTGAGGCTGGTTTCAAACTCCTGGCCTCGGGTGATCCTCCCCTCGGCCTCCCAAAGTGCTGAGATTACAGGTGTGAGCCACCAGGCCCAGCCTATGTTTAACTTTTCAGAAAACCGTCAGATTGTTTCCCACAGCAATTGCACCATTTTATTCTGTGGATTTTTAAGCAGAAGAAAGATGTGGTTTTCAATTTCTGGTAAACTGGGGAACAAACGAACCCAGAAGCTGAATGAGAAGCCAATTTAATTTTGAAAGAGTTTGTAAGAGTATGTACTTGTTTGAGTTTATAAAATGTTTAATTGGACCAGAATTTGACACTCTAAAAACTGCAAACATTGACTAAGCAAAGTTATCATAGTTGTTACTAGGTGTTCATTTCTTCTTGGGGACCAAATCTAGATAGATAAATGTGCAAGATCATCTTTTTTTTTTTTTTTTTTTAAATCAGTAATAAGTCATTTTTCTACCCCTCAGCTAATGAGGTTCCTTTGCTTGATATGGGGTAAACTTGGCCTTGGAATAGTTTACAGCTTGGTAACTGCTTCACTCAGGGAATTGCCTCATGAATTTACAATCATCCATAAGGTATTTTCAAAATGAAAATCCAGATATAGCCCTCTAGCAAGAAGGTTTCAATTTGGTAATTGATTCAGAAACTTTTGGGGAAAATACTGTTGCTAACTGCAGTTTGTTAAGTCAGGCCTTTCAGCAATAAATGGCATTTCAAGTGGGGAGGGAATCATCATTAATGCCGAAAACCAGCAAAATACTCTGGCCCAGGATATGCTGTGTAAGAACGGAATGGCTAAAGTGTTTGATTTTTTTCTACTCAGAAGATAATATTTTCTAAAATATATTTAGATACGTTCTATATTATGTGGCCCCTGGGCTGAAAAAAATCCCAGAAATCATTGTTCACTTGAAAGATAGTCTTTTATAGCATGTAAGTGTCCTACAGAGAGAAGTTGATAACAGAGATAATTCCAAGTAGAATAATTTAAAAATTGTGTTTGTCTTTAGAATGCAGTGTGTGTTTTATCAGAGGGGTGGAGAGAGAATGGTAGAAGGGGTAGGTATGGGGCTTGTTAGGAAGTCATTATAACAGATTTTAGGCAAGGCTAATACTAATTTTTGTTCTTCAAGCAAAGAACAATTGATAGATGATGTAGTTTCTTCCCCACAAAAGGGAAGTTATACTGGAATTAAAAATATTGTTTGAGAAGTCTATCAAGTAGGTAAATAACAAATGGATTACTGATAGATGACTATATTATACTGGAGTTGACATTTTCCCCTCCCAAGGAGAAAAAAATCTAGAATCAAATTAAGTTCAGAAAGACTGGTTTCTCTCTTTCCAACATGAGAGATAAATGACATTAGAAAGAAACCAGGAGTTTTCTTCAGCTCACAACTGGTGGCACAGTGAAAGGAGAGGGCTCCTGTTAATCTCCTAGAGTGAGGCTTCTGCCACCGTTGGGAGTCCAGCCTTGTTTCAAAAGCTGGGAGTGGGGAGTAGAAGCAGTAGGGGAGCCATCACTGTGATTCTGATGGAATCCAGGGGGGTTTTCTTGACCAAACATTCCCTTCTCACTATCAAGTTCCGGAAATACCTTAAGCATGGAAATATCTTTTTTTCTTCCTGTCTCTGATGACTTATATGACATTAGTAACCTGTTTTGGACCATGGTTTTGAACACCACTGGGCCCTATCTTCAGTTTCTTCTTCAAAAGGGAAAGCCAAGGTGCTTAGTTGCATCTCAGCACAGCAGCAGCTATCTTTCCTACCACCATGCATGTGACTCGGTGTTTTCACAGGCCTGTTAGGAGAAGCTGAGGCCTCTGCACCTGCCCATTTGGTACAAACGCACATTAGATGTGAAGTCCGCTTTTGAGGGGCTAGACTTGCCCCTTGCTTCCTCTTGCCTCATAAAGAAAACTTTAGTAGTAACAGTGGCAACTAAGACATTCTTACTGACCAGACTATGGTTATTACTTTTGCTTTCTTTCCTAGACTTTATTAATAACCTGACATTTGTTGTCTTTCTGCTTTTCCTGTGAGATCATCAGAAACAGAATTTTAAGAAGTCTGTTCTATATTCCCATTTAAGTACCCTTTTTGAAACTGAGCAAGCTAATCCAGGATAAAGAGGTGGCTGTAAATCATTTTTAGCAAAAGGAGTTTAGGCATGAGTTTGGGCAGAGATCTAGAGGTGACAGATTTCATATTTTAAACTCTGTTTTCATTAACTCAATTTCTGCACACAGTAAAGTGTAGTGTTTATAATTATGTAGAATTTGATGGGCTACAAAGGTTTCACAAGCATAATATTTCATTCTGTTTTTGCTGAGGTACTTAAACATAAAAGCAGGATTAGGGATTGTTTACTACTTGCAGCAACTTTGGGGAATAATTCAGATATTTATTGAATGCTACTGAGTGTAGGGGATGCTTAGGCATTATGATATGTGGAGGAAAATGCCAGCTCAGTTGCCTTTATTCTGACTTCAGAGTATTTTATAATTTGAATGTCCTTGGATATTACTTTGAAAGTAATTGATGACGAGGTTTTTGCACCGTTAAAATGGTGTAATACTTAGCTGATGCTAAATTTATGGTTCACCCCTAAGTAATTTACTCAAAAGAAGGGGTGGGAGTGAGGCAATGACACTGCAGGTAGTCAGAGACTCTAATAATAAAGTCTTTGGCAACATTTTTGCAATTCAATTTTAATGATTTCTAAAGCAACGATGACAAAATATACTCTGCATTCAGGATTTCTCTCCTGCACTCAGGGAAGATAGGACTGATCAATCATGTCACCCTTTTCCTTTGAGATAGGAAGCAACTTCAGAATTCTCAATTCTGCGTTTCCAAGAGTGACTGTCAATCAGTGGGTGTTATCTCACATGTTAATACTTCTTTCTTTGCCTTCTCTGATCAAAAGCGTTGCCTGATCCTTTTAAACATATTTTCCCTGCAAAATGGCAGCCAATAATTTTTATTTATTTATTTTTTTGAGGTGGAGTCTTGCTCTGTCGCCAGGCTGGAGTGCTGTGGTGCGATCTTGGCTCACTGCTACCTCTGCCTCCCAGGTCCAAGTGATTCTCCTGCCTCAGCCTCCCGAGCAGCTGTGACTACAGGCGCGTGCCACTAGCCTGGCTAAATTTTGCATTTTTACTAGAGACAGGGTTTCACCATGTTGGTCAGGCTGGTCTCTAACTCCTGACCTCGTGATTTGCCCATCTTGGCCTCCCAAAGTGCTAGGATTACAGGCGTGAGCGACCGCGCCCACCCAATATTTTTTTTAGAAGTCCCCGGCCAATAATTTTTTAAAAAGTGCTACACTGGCCAGGCACAGTGGCTCATGCCTGTGATCCCAGCACTTTGGAAGGCCGAGGTAGGTGGATCATGAGGTCAGGAGTTCGAGACCAGCCTGACCAACATGGTGAAACCCTGTCTCTACTAAAAATACAAAACTTAGCCGGGTGTGGTGGCACACATCTGTAGTCCCAGCTACTCGAGAGGCTGAGGCAGGAGAATCGCTTGGACCTGGAAGGCAGAGGTTACAGTGGGCCAAGATCGTGCCACTGCACTCCAGCCTGGCGACAGAGTGAGACTCCGTCTAAAAAAAAAAAAAAAAAGCCGGGAATGGTGGCTCACGCCTGTAATCCCAGCACTTTGGGAGGCCGAGGTGGGTGGATCACCTGAGGTCAGGAGTTAGAGACCAGCCTCCAAATGGAGAAACCCAGTCTCTACTAAAAATACAAAATTAGCCAGGTGTGTTGGTGCAAGCCTGTAATCCCAGCTACTTGGGAGGATGAGGCAGGAGAATTGCTTGAACCTGGGAGGTGGAGGTTGCAGTGAGCCGAGATCACGCCATTGCACTCCAGTCTGGGCAACAAAAGAGAAACTCCGTCACAAACAAACCAAAAAAAAGTGCTGTACTATACACCAGTGCTTCCCACACTGTAATGTGCATACAGATCACCTGGGATCCTATAAAAATGCAGATTGATTTAGTAGGTCTGGGGCGTGCTTGGGATTCTGCAGTTCCAACAAAGTCGCAGGAGATGCCGTGCTGCTAGTCTGGACCATACCTACCGAGTCTCTCCTAGACCCTTCACTAGAGGCAACATGTAAGCTAGGAAACTATGTACAGTCCAATTCAATAACCAAGAAAAAAGAAGAAAAGGCAAATGTTCCATTAGAAGCTGAAGTTTTATTATAGGATAACAGTACATAAAGCACATCTAAAATTGATGTGTTCAATGCACTTTTAATAAAGGTAATGTAATATTAAAGGTACAGTTTCTAAGTACAATATAACAACATTCATATTAGAATGAAAATTGGAGTATTTAAAAGACAACATTAAATCTCTCTTTTTTGTACAGCTTGTATTTACAAAATGAATCAAAATATTTTTTTTTTTTTTAAATTCAGGACTCAATAAAATAAACAGCTGGAAATAAGCAGACTACTGTAAGAGTGAATTGAAAAGAAAACCCAAGGTAAGTGGAAAGTTGGATGATCCTCTAATAAAGATCATTAGCAAAGTTTTAGTTCAGTACTAGTTTTAGGATTCCCATAAATGGCTTGCATTTTTAGTGTGGCAGAAAAGGAGTTTTTACATACTGTACACAAAACAGACCATATATTCATAGGTACAGTATTACTGTTTCCAAACTTGCATGTATATTTACAGAAGGCTGAGTTTGTTTACTCACACAGAGGTTTGTGAAATTTGTGTGCTTCATCCTCAAGACCTACACACAATTAGAATCAGCATTTCATGTGGTCTTTTTAAATGTGGCTTTAATACTTGGTTGTAGAAGAGAATGTTAACCATAAGGCTTGGCTTACTTTATAAATTTCACAAAACAACCCAGGAAGAAAGTTTTAATTGGGGCACACTTGTTATCATTTAACAATTGTCAAATGCTGACCTGTGCTAGCCATTGTGCAGACGCAAAGAGATACATACAATCTCTACCCTCAGGAAACTTAGGATGCTAAATGGTGCTTTAAAAAAAAAAGGTTTCAATCTCTTTCCAAGCGAGGCAGTTAAGGAATGATGTGATTTATATTAAAAGAGATTTCTCCCTCAACTGTAGCCAATCCACTTTAAAAGGTTAACTACTAGCATTAGCTCTCATTAACCACACAATTGCATTTATAGTTAAGGTAACAGCAACTCTTCCACAAAAATGGAAAATGTCTAGAATTGTGGGTAAATATGCAGTGCATGGAAGCCAATAATCATGGCTTGAGAATTTATCACCTTCAATTACAAAAAGTGCAGTAAACAGAAACATTTGCTCTACATTTATAAATTGCTCAAAAATCTTTGCTAAAGATCTTACAAATTCAGTAATATTACAGAACAATTCTAATCAATATTTAATAAGGTTAACTACATCCTTAGTTAGATATTTGATAAACTTTGCTTTTTAATAATGCCAATAGATCTTGGGAGAATGCGTAGAAAGGCTTAATTAAGCTCATTATTAAATAACTTTAAAAATGAAGGTCCTTCACTCAGTTCATGGAACTGGTTGAGGTTATATTGAAACAGAACATCCCGTGTCGAATTTGCTTTATGGCCCATGTTCTGGCAGAGGACGTCTCCATCCTTCTCATGACTCAGGTAGGAGGGGAAAGGTTTATTCTGCCATCAAGCCATCTAGGATATTTTATATAAATGCCTATTATCTATAATAGGAGCTAAGAATACAATTCTGTTAGGTGCCCATAATATAATTCCTTAATAAGAAAAAAAAGTATATTACTCCATTAAACAAGTTTCTTTAGGATCTTGAAGGCCTGGCAAATTATTTTTCAGCTTAGGAGATATGCTATAAAGCCAAGTAGCAAACATAAAGTAAATGCTAATAAGTTTCCATATAGCCATATTTATAAACAAATTCACCCTATAGATGTCAAATATCCATACTAAGGAAGTAATTTTATCCTAATTAAATACACTCTAGAATAATTTATATAACGATATTATGTATTTAAAGAGAAAAGCATGTCCCAAATCCAGCACTCTGATACAGCTGCCAGTTGGGCATAGGTAGAGATATATATATATATGTATATATATACAAATATATAGTTATACTCAGTGAAATTAACAAGACCCAAAGGTGGTATTGTCTAGGAATAAAAGGGATATTTTTTGTTGTTCACAAAAGTAACTTGTCTAGCACCACACATCAGAAAAACACAAAAATAGCACACTCTAGTTCTAAACAGCTATGTCTAAAATAGATTATATAGTAAAACTGGTATTATACAGCATATTGTGGATTTGATAAACAGATAAATATTTGCACTGAGTAGGCTGTTTATAATATAACATTTTCTTATCTATACAGAATGAAAGCCAAAAAGTTAACTGTATAGAGATGTGCAGAACAACATTAAATATTATGACTCAAAAGCAGGGACAGGTAAATTTGAAAGAAGAGTAAGAGAGAAAATGTTTACAGGCCATTACAAGTTCTTAAGTTAATAGTAAATAAGGAATCGATTGCTCAAGTTGAAGAAAGCAGTAAACAAGAGATTGCATTTACATGCAGATGTCTAAAATTTGTATTTTTTAAGTCTATGCACAAAAGTCATTTGTTTTATTGCTTGACATTCAGTTATGGCTAGATTATTTAACCTATTTTTTTTGTACTTTGGAAACAAGAATATTGTTAAAGGTGCCATAAAAATGGACAACATTGAAAACGGTTTGCAAATAAACCACCTAACACTGCAGTTCTTTATACATATTAAAAGCCTTGTCTGGGGTTTGTCATATGTTAAATATTATTTAAACTGGGAAAATATGTTGTAGCTTGAAGCCTCCCATTGGCCCAAACATCCAATACAAAAACACATCTCCACAAAAGGAGCAGGCAGACAGTACAGGTACATTTATAGAAGCAGCCAGCTAATGTCCTAATGTTTAAAAATTTACCACTGTTTAATATGAGATTTCAGACTGTGTGGATAACAAGAGAATTTTGGATTCAGGAAGATGTATACAGTACATATGGATTTTTTTTTTTTTTTGTGAAATCATTTTCACTATATTGCTGAAGAATTATCTGCATTTACATATGCAATCTGTTCAGTGACAAGTTCCTAGAAATAGTATTCATCCACATTAAAGTAATAATGATGAAAAAGGAATCACACATGAACACTGGAGAGAATTTAGTTGTTCTTAGAGAACAACATAATGGCATGTGCAGCATGTCAAAGCTAATAGCAAGTTATCTTTCATTAGTTCTTAGAAGGATGAAAGAAAAAGAAGTGTGGTACTGCTAATGTGGCAAAGTACACTAAATGTAAACAGCAAACACAGATTTTCTAGGCATCTATTTAAAATATTCATATTCACTTTCTCAATATAAGACTCCATGTTATCTTGCATCACTGAAAAAAGGTTGTTTCTATTTGGATTGAATATTCTGTCATTCATTTATACATAAATGACTGAATGTATTTATTGCTCTAAGTTCTGAGGGTTTGGTTGAACATGGAGATCCCCCCTGCCCATCTAGGATGGCTACTTGGTATGAAGTCAGGCTTCTGGATTCTTTTAAAAATTATTCTGAGAGCCTGACAACACTGATCTCACCTACACAGACAGACAGACAGATCCAGAAGTGAAGCCAATTGCACTGTGGAGACATTGTTAGTCAGTCTTCTCATCTCTTAAAAATAAATAGCAAGAGGAAGGTCTCTATAATAAAATCTGATTGAACCTCTTTACTAATATTATATTTAGGTACAGAATAGAAGACCTGTATCATAGACTATTACCAATAGATCAAGATTTACTGTTGCAATTGCATTTCTGGGCACATTACTTGATCTATAATATGAAGTTGTTTTCATGGGGTTCTATATCATAACTTTATAAGAAGAGGCAATCACATGTTATGTAAAAATGTCAATAACGTGTGTGTGTATACACACATATACAAATACACACAGAGAGGAGAGATTTCTACCGGTTTCCATATTCTTTATTATCAAAAACAACATGGTAAAGGTATCCTTTTCATCTTATAGACATGGGAAGTTTTCCCAGATTACGTTCCTCTGTCATAGTAAGAAAATATATAAATCTTCTTGTGAATGTGTATCCCAAGATGGAAGAATCAGAGCCAACAATTACACTGAACTTCTTTGACTTTATGGAAAGTAATATGTGGAATATGATAACAAAAAAATATAACATGTAACACTAAATGTTGGCTCGAGGTGCTGCTGTCATACAGGCAGGTTTTGTTTTGTCTTTAAACATTAGCTCTTGTAATGCATCAGATATAAACTACACATGTAGAAGTAAGAATTGTTTTCCATGAAGGAATTTTTGGTTTGCTTCTAGAGGAGAACGCATGAAAACAATAGTTAATTGCTGGTATTTTGTAGTTTATCTTTTACCTATATCACTATACTGATAGGCAGGTCTCTCCTCTTATTACTGGTTTTAAAAATTTTCATCCTTAATATGTAGAATTTGAAATAGATTTTAACATATGATGCTATATATATATTTATCATGAATATTTTAATTATTAGAGAAATGGTAACTGGAATATGCAAGGACTATACTTTGAATGATGCTCTTTGCTGGTACATTATCTATTAATTTATCTTTTGAATACACTGGCATAACTTTGCTTTGGAAGTTATTCAGTGTTTTGAAACACAAGACTGAAGAGCACATCAAGTTCTGAACTCAACAAAATGAGACGAGAGTAAAGAGTTTACACACACGCAGTTCTATATAGTTCACTTGTGCCTTGGAGGGATAGTATTATTATCATTATTATTAATAATAAAAAACACAATTTGTCCCAGTAGTACTGGCCACCCTGTTTTAAGAGTTTTAGGAGATCCCTGAGCACATCGTTTCTGACTCTTAACCCCAACTCCAAAATGATAGGGCTTCTATCGTTGATATCAAGATGGATTGTCATTCACAGTAAGTCAATTATAAGGTGCTTATTTACCCTTGTTTTTCACCAATCAGCACAAAGAACTGTCAGAAAATAACTTTTTATTATTATCTTAAAATAATAGCATTGGAAGGACATATGATTTAAACAATCAATGTTTGAAACAGTGGCTTTAGGATTATTATCTGGCTGCCCCTCAACAATAAGAAGTGATTCGATCGACATTCCTTAGCCAAAAACAAAAGGCAAAACAAAACAAAACAAAACCCAAAAAACAAAAAAACCCCAAAAAACTGTACAAATATGTATTTTTCCCTGAGGGATCAAGGTACACCCGCAAGTGCTCTATGTACATATTGCACTAGAGAGGAATGAAGAACATGTGCAAAAAAGCAACAATGAGAGAAGCTTACATACTACTTAAACCTTTTCATGAAAGATACTACTAGGTTTTGCATTTTGGAATGTCGGAACACAACAGCTAGCTATTCCTTAGTCTAAAACTAAAAACACACATTTCTACTATGGCACATTCAATGAAATAAAAAGTTTTCCAAAGACAGATAGACAAATTCCATCAAGAAAATAATACAAAGTTTGTTTGTTTGTATTTTTTTTTTTAGAAAATTACATTACTTTCTTTCTTTGTTTCACATTACAAAATCTTTTTTTCTTTACACAAATCACATTTTATTGCAGGAATATTTCAAGTGCCATCAAATATTTATAGAAGGGTTAAAAAAATAGAAGTCTCTCTAAAGTGGTCCAGACAAGGCTTTGTATAGAATAAATCTTTTTTTTTTCCCATCTTCTAGTTTTGATTTAAGTATTTTGAATACATTTTCTTTTCCATTGACACTTAGTAGCCTAGAAGCGGTCCGACGCACACACATCATACACATGCAAATCACACACACACACACACACACACACTCCTTCCTCACCTGACTCTCAGCCCACCCCCATATGCTCACAGATAACTGGGTATCCACACTATAAAGAACAACCAAACTTAGAAGCAGTGTCTTAAGTCACGTTTTTCTTAAGTTAGAAAGGGTGAATTAGGATGCTGAAGACTTTAAAAAAAAATCCATAGCTTTAATACAAATTAAGATGCTGAACACTTTTAAAAAAATCCATAGCTTTAACACAATTTGCAAACTGTCCAAAAAGCACTTTCATCTGTACTTTTGTTTGCATTGTGACCAAGGCCAGGTTTTTCACAATATAATAACCATTTGGACACCAGTGGAACAGAAGGTATTCAGGCTTTGTACAAAAGCCTTATTTGCCTTATGTAAAAAAAAATAGTATAAAGGCATTATAGCAGCGGGGCTGACACTGATGTGGTTCTAATCCTTAAAATATTGGAGATTGAAATTTAGGAAACTTTAATTATAAGAACTATTTAGGATAATTGTTCTGCTATCACCCAAGTATTTTATAGGTCACATAGGTGTTTTTATAATAATGAAGAAAGGAAAATACAAAGTTTTTCACATCCTTTTCTGAGCTCCATATTTTTTTTTTAAACTGAATTTATTGTTCAACATCAGATCCCAACTTCGATCCAAAGAGTAGTCAGTTGTTTTCTTGTTTCATGGAGCATGTCTCTGTCTACTATTCCATTCCACTATGTCGATCAGTGGACTTGGCTCTTAAGCTCCACCCCTGCTTTCCTTTCAGAAACACCTGGGAAGAAGCATCATATTACCTATCTTGGTTTACCATAAAAGCAATGTCACCATGGCATGACTATTACTGAGGTTAGAGCATGAGTTTGTTTGTTTGTAGCTACATGCAGAATCCTTTCTGGGAAAAGGAATTTCTTTTAAGTTCAACATTATGTTCTCTCTCACCCTTAGAGAAATTTAATTAGCTTTTATTATTTCACAAATGGACACTGGAATTAGGTTTAGTTGCTCTTTAATGCGCTAGCACCTGAGGCTGGTCATATTCAGAAAGCTTTGGTTAAAAAGAAGTTAATATACTTTAATAAAACCATCCCCAAATTTAGTGAATCTGAATGACAACAAAACAAAACCAAAACCAAAAAACCAAAAAAACAAAACTCAAACAAAAACAAAACACCATTTCCCCTCAAAGGAGAAATAATAGAAAAAAAAATGGATGAATAAATAACTGAACTAAGCTTGGTACTCTTTTCAGAGTATAAATACTATTGATCTTTAAAGGAACTATGCTTATTTAAATTAAAGATTTGATTTAACCCTTCTTGCCCCAATATAAATACTATATGCTGACAGTTAGCATCTCTCTATAAACACATAAAATTTTACATGCCTGTAAGAAATTTAAAGGAATATTACTCTTATCTTCTATTTATGGTTAAACTCTTACTATGTTTTTGAAAAAAAAGTTGGATGTTATTTAGGCTTCATACACACATCTGTGTGAATAATACCTTCCCCTTTTCCAAGTCCCTCAGGAAACAAGTCAGAAAAGTCTGTGGAGTTAGAAACAGAGTTAAGTGCTCTGGGAAGCCCATGCTGGTAACCCAGCATGATGTGAAGAGCTGCAGTTCCTGTAGAAGATTCCACAGGGACCCCAATGGCAGAGGAGACTATTTCTCAGACATAAAGGGCTGTGTGGAAACTCCTACCTTAACACCCATCGGAGATGTTCCCTTTTCTGTACAAAATGGTCTTTGACCAGTAGTTTGAATCCCACCCCTAGTGCGACTAAAATCATCGTCTAAATGCCTACATTCCCAAAAGGTCACTTGTTTTTAAAATATGCACACCTGTTTATCAGGCTGTTCCTTTCCCCTTCCCCTACTAGGGATTATTTAAAAAAAAAAAAAAAAAAAAACCATGAAATTAAACAAAAACAACTCAGTATTTCTCACCTGAACACACAAGCCAAATAATCTTCTAAATATTTAATAAAATAAATTACAGTCCACAGTTTCCTAGTGAAGATAAATACAAGAGTAAATGTTTGCAGCTAGCATCAACTTCACTTTAAAGGCTTAAAGTATTTAATATTTAAATAAGAGAAACTGGTTCAACGTTGTATGCTTCCCTCACCCTCCTATCCATCGTTTTTCAAATATGAAGAGCAACATATAGCATCTATTGACAACAAATCTAGAATCAGTTCACTTTGAGATAAACTCATAGGGTTCCTAGATTATACCAAGAACATTTAAACATTCACAGAGTAAATGCTTCATGTCCTCACATGGGGAGTGTGCGTTTGCTCGAGATATAATCTTTGGGTCCTTCTTATAATAAAAGCTAGATTCCAATAAATATTCTGGTTATTGATTTGTTCTCAAAGCATAAGAATTCCAAGTTGAGACCGAGTCCATATTTAACTACTGAATTGTGTAAAATGAGCTTCCCCTCCCTTGCCTCCATGAGGTGGCATTTTAAAAAGCTTTAAAAACAAAACAAAACAAAAAAAGAGCATGATGGTATACGTCCACTGCGCCAATCAATCATTCAACTTTGTATGAAGCATAAACACATCTATCCTTAAACTTACCAAAAAGCAAAGTATAATTTAGGGAGAGTTCCGTTTCTCATTCCAAATTCACATGTTTAAAAAAAAAAATCCAACGTGGTGATTTCTAGATATGACCAGCCAGTCTTTTAAAAGTAATTTTGTAAACAGCAGCATAAATACCTCCCGACGTACCTTCCAAGCCTTCTCAGTTAAACTTGTGTTTCTGGTGCACATGCGACACGACAGTGAACACGCTAGCATTTAATTTAAAGAAAAAGGTGCAAAATGAAAGTGCCTTATCAATTCAACAGGAAAAGCTACACCAGTAACTACATTTTATATTACTTAAAACAATATATAAACAATATCTCTTTTAGCTATATATAGTCTTCATGCCCATTTACCCTGTAATATATTATAATGCTATTGTTGCTACTGCTATGGACCCTTTTCATGCCATCCTGCGGACTGGCAATAATCGGTGAAAAAATAAAAACTTCCTTCATGAAACAAAGAGCCAGTTGTGCAAAGTAATGCCGCAACCTCCGCTATGCACACCAGTCACCGATTATTGCTGGACTCTCTGTTGTTACTGACAGATTGCTGACTCTGTAGAAAGTCTGTGGGCAGTGAGCTACAAGAAAAGGAAATCCTCCAACTTTAGTACCCTCCTTCTGTTGTAAACAGAGGTCAACGATCAAGAAGTCAAGACAGAAAAAGGGTCCATATCTGTAGGCATAATGGAAATCATATGCATGAGAAAAACAAGTTCAACTTTTATTTGTTTTCATTGTTTCCCCTCCTTTGCCTGACCCCGATCACCAAAAGATGTGCAGTGTGTGGCGCTCCAGGTCTGTGCAGGGCCATATAAAGTGTCTCGGTTAATTTTTTTGTTTGTTTTTCACGTTTGTACTTCAGACATTCTAGAAGTGCTTAGGTGATAACATTTACCCATCAATTTGCATTGCTGGCTCAAATTCTGAAGTGAACAACTCCTTGTATAATGGAGGAAAATGAAGTCGCACAATGTCTGGGTATATTGCTTTAAATGCCATTAGCTTTTCTGTATGTCGTCCACATAAGGCTCTTAATGTAGACACCTTGCATATTAACTGTAAGTGGAAGAAAGGACACACTGTCAGGCAAGAACAGGTATGAGCATCAGAGATCAGGGAATCTGAATGATCTTTATGACATTGTTTATAATGGTGAAACACCCTTAAAACAACTTAAACATCTTGTAGCAGAGGATTGGTAAAAATAAATGATGGCTGGGCGCGGTGGCTCACGCCTGTAATTCTAGCATTTTTGGAGGCTGAGGCAGGTGGATTGCCTGAGCTCAGGAGTTCGAGACTAGCCTGGGCAACACGGCAAAACTCCGTCTCTACTGAAAAAAAAATTAGCCAGGCATGGCAGTGTGCGCCTGCAATCCCAGCTACTCAGGAGGCTGAGGCAGGAGAATTGCTAGAACCCGGGAGGTAGAAGTTTCAGTGAGCCAAGATCGTGCCACTGCACTCCAGCTTGGGTGACAGAGTGAGACTGTCTCTTAAATAAATAAATAAATAAATAAATAATGATATAGTCATGTCATAGAATGCCAAGTATACATTAAATATGATTTTCAAGATGAATAATTTAATAACTAGAAAAGATGTTCATAAGCAAAAGTTGGCACAGCTTGTCAGTGGCAGACTAATACAGAACCCAAGGCTCTTGACTTCTCCTTCTACTCCAAGATGCCTTCTCTCTACTTCCTGGAACCCTGCCCTCTACCACTGTGCAAAAAGAAGATGTCTGGTGATAGAGAAGCGGGTGAAGGGCAGTAGTGGGTGGGTAGTGAGGGCACTGCAACCAGAGATGATGGCGTACTCTACACATTTTATGCAGAACTGGCACTAGTCAACTCCGATAACTACAAGTTTCTTTTCGATAAGAAGTTTTGCCTGTAATAAAGCCATGCTGGGTCTGAGCAAAATAATCGAGTCAGAAGACCTGGATGGAGGGCCCAGCATGGACCATTTACCAGCTGAGGGTAATGACACAATTTGCAAAATTACTTTCAGATTCCACAGCACCTCACAAAGGCAAACTGCTTATTATTTTAACCCAGAATAACCTTCTCTAGGAAATGTTTTCACCAGATCTTGTCTACATGTTAAGTGCTGTTTATAATCAGAGATCATAATGGTACCGTTGCATTTGGGCAAAAAGATGGAGAAGAGAGTGAAGCTCCTGACAGGGCTCTTCCCTTCCACTTCTCATTCCTGCCCCATGTCCTCATTTAACAGGTGCAAACTCAAAAGCAAAACAGCAATTAATCCCCCGTTACCCTTTTCTGACCTAACAGGTGCGAAATCAAAAGCAAAAACAGCAATTAACCCCCAGTTATCCCTTTCTGATCTAACATAACTATAAAGGAGGAAAAAAAAAAAAACAAGCAAACAAATAAACAAGAAAACAAAACCAAAAACTTCTCACATCATCTCACACAATAAAATACATAAGAAAGAACAGGGCTGATTTTTCTAAGACCAAATACATACTACTAGCAGTGGCACTGGCGGATACTAGCACATTTAAAAAAATGGCATTACAATCATATTTTTATTGTGAAAGATAATGATAGGTAAAAATGCAACCTTATGCCTTGAATACAGAGTAGTGATGGGAAATTGACAAAAATGCAGAAGTCTTTTACTTACATAATGAATTTAATGGAAGTGGAACTAATATTAGTATATATGGTCATTCTGATTAAGTCTTTTAGTCCTTTATAACTTCTTTCTAAATTCAAAGATTATAGGCTGGGCACAGTGGTTCACTCCTATAATCTCAGCTCTATGGGAGGTGGAGGAGGGAAGACTGCTTGAGGCCAGGAGTTTGAGACCAGCCTGGGCAACATAGTGAGATACCCATCTCTACAAAAAATAATAAATAAATTAGCCAAGTGTGGTAGCACATACGCCTGTAGTCTCAACTAGTCAGGAGACTGAGACAGGAGGATCTTTTGAGCCCAGAAGTTCAAGGTTGCATAGAGCTATGATTGGGCCACTTCACTCCTGCCTGGGAGACAGAGTGAGACCCTATCTCTAAAAAATAAATAAATTCAAAGATTACTTTTCTAATTTATGTCAGTGCAGAATATTAACTCTGCTTTATGTCCAACTTTGATGGAAGAGAATTTCTAGAATGTAACTTTTTTTCCTATATTGCCTTATTGTTGCAGGACACTTTGTAATCAATGATAATAAGTATAATTTAGACTGAATAATGAGTTTTGGCTCAACAGAATTTTACTGAAATGGAAATTTATTTCTTTTTGGTAGCTTGTTGCTTTCTGATACTTTTGGGAATTGGTCGTATGACTTACATGACCATACTGGCAGCATGATTTGTGCCAAGGGATAGTTCAGGCCATGCCAACCAGAAGCCTTTGGCACTCACCTTTGTTAGTATTCCATCTTCTCGGTGATTCTTCTGTAGGACATGTTGAAGAGCTAGCTGAATTTTCTGTTGCAGTTTTTCAATTTTTACCTTTTCTTGCAGCCATGAGCGATCTAAACATAAAAAAATGATATTCTTTAGCATTCCTCCGACATGGTGTCAAGATCCCCCTTCTCCGGATGCTTTTGATACAGATAATTATATCACAATGAATATTTAGAGACTCAGAGGTCAGTTTCACTCCTCTTTCAAAATTTCTCCTAATGGAATGAAAAGTGATCTAAGGAAGTTACAAAACAGGGTGTTAAACCTTTCCATTTTACCAATACATAAAGGAAGGATCCTTCCCTTCCAAAGGATAAACAATTAAATATGAGGCCATACTCATATGAATGCAAATGAAACCATCATGGCCCCTCGGGACGTTCTAATAATCATACTTCGGAATGAAATATTCATTATCAATCCTGCTAGCTTTTCTGAAAAATACAAAAGTTTTCTAGTAATCTTTGTCAACTAAAATTGTCAATAGAATTCCAAGTGACAGGCCGGGCACGGTGGCTCTTGCCTGTAATCCCAGCACTTTGGGAGGCCGACGGGGCTGGATCGCCGGGATCAGGGATCGCGGACCATCCTGGGCTAACAGCGTGGAAACCCCATCTCTACTAAAATACAAAAATTAGCCTGGCATGGGGGGGCGCCTGTAGTCCCAGCTAGGAGGGCTGAAACATGAGAATGGCGTGAACCGGGAGGCGGAGCTTCAGTGAGTGGAGATCGCCGCACTGCACTCCAGCTGGGTGACAGAGCGAGACTCCGTCTCAAAAAAAAAAAAAAAAAAAAGAAAAAAAGAATTCCAAGTGACTTAAGGGGTGGTTAATTTAGGATACAGTTTTTATGTGTAGTTTTCCAATAGAAGGTAGTAACTTAGCAAGAGAGATTCTCCAAACATGCCATTACTGGTTGAAAACACAGATTAAATTCAGAGTAATCTAGTGGATGACATCAAATGGATTTTACGAAAAATAGGATGTCTTAAAAATTCACGTTATTGGGCCGGGCGCGGTGCTCAAGCCTGAATCCGCCACTGTTGGGAGGCTGAGATGGGCGGATCACGAGTCAGGAGATCGAGACCATCCTGGGCTACCCAGTGAAACCCCGTCTCTACTAAAAAAATACAAAAAACTAGCCGGTCGACGGTGGCGGTGCCTGTAGTCCAGCCTACTCGGGAGGCTGAGGCGAGCAGAATGGCGTGAACCCGGGAGCGGAGCTTGCAGTGAGCTGAGATCCGGCCTCTGCCACTCCAGCCTGGGCCCTTGACACGCAGAGCTGTATTGACTCCGTCTTCAGAAACAAAAAAAAAAATCACGTTATCCTGGAGACTGGTGTTAAGAAAGGCAACCCTATTCTACTACAGCATTTCTCTTGGTATCAGGAGGTTAATTCTGGACTGGATTTTATTCAATTCTCATTTCTTTACATTTTATCTGAAAGGCATGAGGTTTTCTTAAAAGAATATATATTTGTGTTGGGGGGTGGAGAAGAGAGGGTGTTATTTGAAGACTTAAAATCCAATTTAATAAGGGTGGAGACCTCTCTTAGTAGCTCCCAAATATTTTACAGCTATTAAATGTATGGACCTTGTAAAAATTCTTTATCTTAGACAATTCTAAAACCATTTTTATTTTTATTTGGTTATCTTACCTGCTGACATCAGTACGAACGCAGAAAATAATGCAATTTCATCTTCAGTCAGGTGCATAGAACATAAACTCTTTCCAAATTCAAACACAAAGCTAATAAAGTCTTCACAACCTGCCAGAATGAAAATAAAGACAGTTTAGAAGTTTGGTTATTGTCTTAGGAGAAAAACCTAGGTCTTAGGTTTTCCTAAGGTTCTCCTAAGACCTATAGGAGGTCTTAGGAGAAAAACATGGGGAAGATGAAGAGAGATCTAGTAGTTGAAGAGCAGAAGGAATAGTAGTAGCATTTCTACAGTTTAATAGTTTAAAATCTTAAAAGAAAAATCTGTTTAGTCATCACCACTACCTTCCATCATATCACCACCACTGCCACCACTTTCATCACATCACCGTTACCACCATCATCTTCATTCAAAATAATGAGACTGAACTTTTGTTGTGTGATTACTATGGCAAGTATTGCTCTAAGATATTTCTTTGGGTTTCTTCTTATTTTACGACAGTTCTATGAAGGAGGGATTATTATTATCCCAATTTTAGAGGTGAGGAAACTGAGACTTGGAAAGTAATGCACCTATGGTCATACAGGTAGAAAGTACAACCTAAGAAGCAAAGCTAGGCTGCCTGATTTCAGAGCCTACACTTTTAACCTATAGAGTCTAGTAGTCACATTCTAACTGATATGTTAAATTAACTCGTTTTTGTTTTCAACTCTTATTTCATCTGAAACATTCTTAAAAATGTTAACAAATGACACATTATGATAGTAAAACTATTATAACTATTTACCAACCTGAAAACACAGAATGTGAAAGTCCCCTAAAATAATAATCCATTTTCCAAAAGACTGGTTAAGTCTGGTGTCTATTCCTTCAGATTTGCATATTTTACATACAAATGTATATATTTAAATGACAATGTGCTACATGACAGTTCATTATATATATCTTCTGTCATGTAACTTTTTAAAAAAATCACTCATTTTAGATACTTATCCATTCTTCTTAATAACTATATTCATTTTATTTAAATTATAGAAATCCAAAATTTATTATTATTAATTATTTTGAGACAGAGTCTCACTTTGTCACCCAGGCTGGGGTGCAGTGGCACGATCTCGGCTCACTTAAACCTCCACCTCCCGGTTTCAAGTGATTCTCTTGCCTCAGCCTCCTGAGTAGCTGGGACTGCAGGCGCGCACCACCATGCCCAGCTCACTTTTGTATTTTTAGTAGAGATAGGGCTTTGCCATGTTGGCCAGGCTGGTCTCAAACTCCTAACCTCAGGTGATCTGCCTGTCTCGGCCTTCCAAAGTGCTGGGATTATAGGCGTGAGTCACCACGCCTGGCCCCAAATTATTTATTTATAAATTATATGTCATGGTTTCACTTAGCTATAACTTTTCTTTCTTTGATACCTGCATGTCAGTCTCATTGATGGTTACTGTTTGAGGGGGATGGAAGGGCAAAGCTTCTGTCCTTTGCTTAATCTTATGTATCAACTCACATCCTAAAGGTTATCTGAATAAGTATCCACAGAAAATTTGGTTTCTTAAAATCTGGAAGGGGGCCGGGCGTGGTGGCTCAGCCTGTAATCCCAGCACTTTGGGAAGCCGGACGGGCAGATCACGGAGGTCAGGAGGATCGAGACCATCCTGGCTAACACAGTGAAACCCCATCTCTACTAAAAAATACAAAAAAAAAAAACTAGCTGGGCAAGGGTGGGCGGGCACCTGTAGTCCCAGCTACTAGGACGGCTGAGGCAGGAGAATGGCGTGAACCCGGGAGGCGGAGCTTGTGGTGAGCTGAGATCCGGCATCTACACTCCAGCCTGGGCGGACGGCAAGACTCCGTCTCAAAGAAAAAAAAAAAAAAAATTAGAAGGGAACTGGAAAGGACACATAATGATAAATCCCTTTGATTACAACTAGATAAAATGAAATCTAGATTTCGTGTAAATGTAGACAAAAACTTTTGTCTCTATATGCTTTTTTTTTGTTTGTTTTTTTGAGTGAGTCTTGCATGTGTCGCCAGACTGGAGTACAGTGGCGAATCTCGCTCACTGCAAGCTCCACCTCCTGGGTTCACACCATTCTCCTGCCTCAGTCTCCTGAGTAGCTGGGACTACAGGCGCCCACCACCACCCCTGGCTAATTTTTTGTATTTTTAGTAGAGATGGGGTTTCACCGTGGTCTCGATCTCCTGACCTCATGATCTGCCTGCCTCAGCCTCCCAAAGTGCTGGGATTACAGGCGTGAGCCACCGTGCCCGGCCGAGCTATATGACTTTTCTACAGTGACTAATTAGAAAGTAAAATAGGTATAAAATCCCTTAATTTTTGTTTCTGAATAACCAGTTTTCATTTTGTCCAAGCAGAGCTTTCACTCAACCCGCATCTTTTCCTATAGCCCCGATTTGAAGAAAAGGCACCTTGATACCCCTTACCTAAGGATTTGAAGATGTCGGGGCTGGCATACTTCCCATCAAAGTACACGGTGTTGTTTTGAGAGTCAAAGGCACGGCACATTCTGATAAACACCACCTCTAGAGAACCTAAGCAGAGGCAGAAATGGTTCAGGTCATTTGGGTCATCTGATGTTAGTGAGTTTGTTTCTAAGGTGCTCATGTAGAGACTCCTTCTGAGACAGCGTGGTGGGTGTCGTGTGCAGTTTAGCTAGCGGGTTCTCAGTCACATCCAGCTGTCTATCCAGAAAGACACAGTTTTCTATGTAAAGACTGTTGTGCTGAAGCTAAGGCCTGTTTAACTGAAGTGAGGGTTGATTTATAAATTACTTCCTTAGCACTCTTCTACCTCGCAATGCAGAGTCTCAGAGTTGCTAGGAAAACATTTATTCACATGTACTAAACCAAGAATCAAAAACAAGTATATCTTTCTGAGTTCTACTTCCTACCTCCTAACATCATAAACTCGGAGGACTTGGAGTGTAGAAACAAAACACAGGTGATGGGAAAATTTGGGAATGCAGGTGACCTTCAAATTAATCTTTTCATCCAGAAGAGAAGTGAAGTGGGGGGGAATGTTTCCTGAATATATCTGAAAACCTTTCAGAAGAACTCCATTTCTGCTAAGAAAAACCTGAGCTATTATCATGGGAGAAAAACTGTTCCCGACACCTTCCTTACCAAGCATTTCTTTAATAAGCGGATGAAAGCAGGTTAGGAAGAGATCTCAAAATTCACTTGCAAAGCACATACCTGCTTTTAGAAGCACAATTTGATCATTTTGACACAGTTCCATAAATCCATCAATGCGTTTGGCAAACTCCACCACATACTGTATAGCTTCTGTAATTTTGATGGCACACAATTGCCACATCACCTCCCGCTGCTGTTAAAGAGGGAAACACATTAACATCCTCCAGGAAGATGTTAGGTTTTGTAGCAGAAGTTGAAGACTTATGAAAGCAAAGCATGCCACTGCTTCAGCCCTGGGCCACGAAGAGTGGTAAAGTAGGATTTCTTTTTTTCTTTTTTTTTTTCTTTTGAGATGAAGTCTTGCTCTGTCACCCAGGCTGGAGTGCAGTGGCGTGATCTCAGCTCACTGCAACCTCTGCCTCCTGAGTTCAAGTGATTCTTCTGCCTCAGCCTTCTGAGTATCTGGGATTAGAGGCACATGCCACCACATCCAGTTAATTTCTATATTTTTAATAGAGACAGAGTTTTACCATGTTGGCCAGGCTGGTCTTGAACTCCTGACCTCAAGTAATCTGTCTGCCTGGACCTCCCAAAGTGCTGGGATTACAGGCATGAGCTACCGCGTCTAGCCTGGATCTTCTTTTAAGTAATTATTTTGCCTTGGAAAATTTAATACCACTTTACTTGGGGAAAGGGAGAAAAGGAGGAATCAACTGAATTTATTGTGCACCTACTATGAGCTAGGCACGGCACATTGTGATAAATACCACCTCCTTATGACATCCTTAATTCACTTTCGTAAGAATATTTTTCTGCCTGGGCACAAAACAAAACAAAACTGGCTGTCTCAAAACAAAACAAAACAAAAAACTAGTGGATATGGGAGCTAGGATTCAAATCCAAGCATCTCTGACTCTAAAATCCCATTTCATATACTTTGTTGCTTCTTACTGTTTTCTTGCTTCTCCTTTGTAGCTTTGGCTGCTGGCATTACCTGCTACCTCAAAGGCAAACAAAGTGATGTGTTGCTATTCCCCAACATGTCCTGTTAAATTCCTTTTATATTCGCACTCTCCAATTCAGTTACAGAATGATCTGGATGTGTTTTGTTGCCAACTTCTTTCCCTAATCTTAGTTTCAGACTGTTTCCACCGATATGATGGGGTGGAAGAAACACTGAATTAGGAGCCAGGAGTCAAGGTCTGGTCTTGATGTTTCACTCTCCAGACATGCCAACGGATGTTAGTTTTCCTCAAATGTAAAATGGATTCACCTAGATAATCCTGTCGATCTGGGTGTTTTATAGAAAAAGGCAAGTAGGGCACTATTTGTCAGCCTCATATTGCTAGGTTCAGACTGGAGTCACGATCATAGCTTCTACACTTTTTTTGTATATACTCCCTAATACAACTTCCAGAAACATGAAGCTTCCTTGTCAACTTTCAGAAACATGAGGCTGAGATTATTTTACATGAACTTCCAGACCTTAAAATCTTTGATTGGGATATTGAGACAAATCTCCATTCATTTGGGCTTTTGGAAGCTGCTTAATCTATTCTCCTGTTGACAAATGGAAGGAGGTATGTGTATACCTAGAAAGCACAATAGAAATTATTTGCTGTTGCTTAAATTTTGCATGCAGGCATCTGCAAAGCTTCAAGTACATTAGCAGCTTTGCAAAAAAGATATTTAAACAGAAACCTGATATCTGATGAAAGACACTCATTCTTTGGTCTGTGGGAACTCTTGACCAAATTTCCTATACCAACACCCTCCCCAATATTGCCTCAATCCTAGGAGGAAAAATTCCTCAGATCATACCTTGTTTTGATAATTCTCAATTTCTTCCTGCAAAAAGGTCTGCCACGTTATCTGCTGGAGCTCTTCTCTCAAGTATTGGCAGGTTTCCAGATGAGATTTAGATATATTCTGTGCAAGGTGTTCTAAGGAGAAAACAGGAGATCACAAACATGAAAAGCCAAGTTCTTTGAATAACTGGTGATGTAATATTTACTTTAAAAAATAACAAGTAGAAAACAATGTCTGTGCGGGTTTTGACTGTCTTTACACATTTAAACAAGTAATTTGGAACTGTTTTGTATTTGGCAACATGAAAGAGGATAGGGACTTTGCAAAGCCAACATTTGAAGATACGACTTGGTGACTTCAAAGACCCTCCTGACTTTGCCCTTGTTCTGTGTCTTTATACTCATGTCTAGGAATGATAAAATACTGACCTAGATAGACATAGGAAATGATTAACCTGGTGTTTCTTCTTGGCATTTTTATGAAGACACATCTGCCACATAACATTGACCTGGGAAGGATTATTCTTATTCTTGAAAAACTAGAAAATGATACTCTTTTATGGTGACAACTAGGTATTTATTTAGTTTTTCCTGCAAATTGCAGAATAAGCATTACTGAGGGCCTACCATGTGGCTATGCATAGTGTAGTTGTGAAGTCATAGACTCTGGAGCTAGACCATTTGAGTCTGTATCTCAGCTCTGCTACTTACTAGCTATTCGATCTCGGGTATGTTATTTAACCTCTTTGTGCTTGGTTTCCTCATTTGTAAAATGAGGGAAATGGTACCTATTTCACAGGGCTGCTATGAGAATTAAAAGAGTTGAGCCCTTAGAATGGGGAGGATTACTTAGAATATGCTACAGAATATTAGTTATTATACTTGAGCTTAAGGAGTTTGAAGATATTAAAGACTTAGAGGCCAAAGAAGTTTTCTCTAGGAACTTGTAATCTGGCAAACACATATGAACACACTGGAAGGACAATTCAAGACATTAGATAATAAGATACAAAGCTGAATTACCCAGAAGAAGAGAAAGAAAAAAGTAATTGAAGCTGTCAGAAATGGAAGAGATTGGCTGGGTGTGGTGGCTCACGCCTGTAATCCCAGCACTTTGGGAGGCTGAGGTGGGCAGACCACTTGAGGTCAGGAGTTCAAGACCGGCCTGGCCAACATGTATCTGTTAAAAATACAAGGGCATGGTGGTGGCCGCCGTGATCCCAGCTACTTGGGAGGCTGAGGCATGAGGTCTAGAGTTTGAGACCAGCCTGGCCAACATGGTGAAACCCTGTCTCTACTGAAAATACAAAAATTAGCTGGATGTGGTGGCGGGCACTTGTAATCCCAGCTACTTGGGAGGCTGAAGCAGGAGAATCACTTGAACCTGAAAGCCAGACATTGCAGTGAGCCAAGATCGCACCACTGCACTCCAGCCTGGATAACAGAGCGAGAGTCCATCTTAAAAAAAATAAAAATAAAATTATATCTGGGGAAATGGAACAAGCAGTTTTGTGCTTGGTGGATTGCAGCACAGAGGAGCTCAGGCAGGAGGACCACATGGAAGGCTGCTGGAATCTAGATGCCAGGAACTAACAATTTGGAGTAGCTTGGTAATAACTGTTCTGGAAGGGAAGGATGATTAAAGAAGTATTTCTTTAAAAAGAATTGACAAAATCCCATGAATATAAAACCATATCAAAAAATGATCCCTCTCCCTAGGGTTTTGACCATAGAATAGGCAAGCCATTTTAAAAGAATGGTGCTGAATGCAAACTTGGCAACACTAGGGAGAGTATCTGTTTGTTTGGAAATTTGTTACTGCTTTTGTCAAACAGAAGCAGACTTGTTTGTGTGAAAACAGAGCAGGTTCACCTAAATGGAGCTGGAAACCAGAATCTCCTTAGAGACACTGAAACATAATAAACCTGAACAGTCCTTCTTGGAAACACACAGACACTAAAACAGCATGAATAAATAACAAAAACACACACACACACACACAAATAAAAGAACAAATGTAAAGGAAAGAATGAGAAACTGAGAGTGAGAGGGAGAAGCCAGTAAATTATGTGTCTTAGAATCAATGACGCTTGAGAAGAGGTGAGTAAAGACAAAAATAATGGGGAGTAAGAAACAAGAAAATATATAAATAAGGTAGTGAACTACCTCTTTTGGAAAGAACTCTCACTATATAAGATTGTTTCTAGAATGTAAACCAATTTTTGCCAATAAAAAAATGATGAAGATGAAGAGTTCACGGGGAAGCAGAGGGGAATGCTGTGGAGTGAAGGATGAGAAGAGGCTCATATCATTTCCTTCCAGGTTATGCTTCATTTCTAGTTAATAAGATACTTAGCATCTTGTGGTTTCACTTTGTCTTAAGAAACTGTGGCCACTTATCCCTACCTATTTAACACAGCCAATAAAAAGTGAGACAACAAATCATGCAATGTACATGACATACCAGTAGAGGGCAGTGGTTGCATTCACACCATCTGCTCACCAACAGCCTTTCATTCCAGTTCATAGTCGATTTGGCAAGTGTAAGATTTTAGACACTTTGCTATTTTTAAATCTCCATTTCAGCAAACGCGAGTATGGTCAGGCTGAATAAAAGTCGAGAATTTAAGCGTGGTCTCTCAGATAAAGTCTGGAATAGTGAAACACTTTGTGCTAGGAGTTAGGAGACCTGGCTTCTGTCTGAGCTCAGCAGATAATCTATCTACCTCACTTTGTGACTGGGGCAAGTCATGTGCCCCAACCATGACTGCTTCAGCAATACAGCCAGCGCTTTGATACTTCAGATGGGAAGTCCTGGCTTCTGAGTTAGTCACAGATTTTCACAGTGGGAAGGAACTTTAGAAAGCATCTAGTCCAAACTGTCCTTGTTTAACAAATAATAATGACATTAAGAATTATGATAACAGTTAACACATATAGCATTTACTATATGCCAGTCCCACCTAATTTGTATCTATCCTAAATATATGTGTTTTCTCACTTAATCTTTATAACAACCCCAGGAGAAAGGTACTAGTATTATCTCCATTTTACAGATGAGGAAACTGAACCACAGTGAAGTGACTTCTTCAAGGTGTCACAGCTGGTAAGTGGCAGAGCTATGATTGAGACACAGACCTTTATATTCTAGGGGTAGAGAAACTACAGCTCACAGATGCTATGTGACTTATACTGGGTGGTACAACTTATATTAATGCTAGGACCACCACCCATATAAGTGGATTTCTTGTCTCATGTTTGCCCAATATATCAGTTGTTTCTCCTGTGCAAAGCTTTAGATATCAATTATAGTAACAAACATAATTTGCACTTAAAACCTAGGTTGTTTATCTGGAATGTATAATTCAGGTACTAATTGTACACCAAGGGCAAAATTTCCTAGCCAAGGATGAAGACATATTTTTCACTAAAAGTAATAGGTTGTGCATACTACACTTGAAAGAGAGAATTGGACTTAGGACGTGTTGGTTTATAATTTATCTTCCTATTACATAATTGGTTTCATTTGTTTAAAATCTGATGACAAAGTTTAGCCTAAAATGAAGTCAAGAGTCTTAAAGAGATAGCAGGCTGTAAGCCCCAAAAGAAATACCAGGGAAATGTAAGTAGCTTTGGAGAAGCAGCAACAAGACTTGGGCCACTTTCATGATACTCTTAGCTCCCTGAAACACTTTGCATGCATAAATGGGATAAGAGAATTACAGCCCAATTATATCCTTTCCAGATAAATGCTAGTTTAGTTTTGGGTTTGGGAATTCTCCTAGTGATGATCTCATTTAATTTATCCTGGAAAATGCCACACCACCTGTGAAAAATTCCTAATTTAAAAGCACATAGAGCAAGCAGTGAGGGGGCAGGGCTCCCAGACTGCACTGGAGAGTGAGACCACGGAAGAGGAAGCTGACTTGTCCGGGAGCCTCAGGGAATCAGCTCAGCCATCTCTGGCCCCACTTCGGTGTCAGTGCATTTTTTAGCCAAAGTGCCATGTTCAAGGGCAATGCTCTGCCTAAGGCCTATGGATTTATTTCAGGATTGAACATTTGACAAGCAAACAGGACAGAGTCACTAATACTTATGGTAAGGTGGAAGCAAACCTAAAGTGAGTCAGGTCATTTTTCATGGTATCATGTCAGCTTTCAATCAAATCCTTATTCATATCTGAAAATTTTACTTTCATTACAGTTCTGCTTAAGGCTCAGCCAACCAAGATTTCATGACAAAAATGGAAGGTTTTTGTTCTAGTTCAAGAAAAAAAAAAAAAAAAACCAAACCTACCTCTGCTCAGCTTGGCTTCTAGTTCAGAGGTTTCTCTGTTAATCAAAAGAGCTGCAATACACCTTTTAATGCTGTTCAGTGGTTAAAGACCAGGCTTAAAATGTCTCTGCTCTTGAGGATTTAAATTTAGACCCATAAAGAGATGCTTGTGTAAAAACTGTAAAGAACATTCAATTTGTTCTATTTGGAGAAAGATTTTACTGGAAATATAAATTTTCACTTAAAAGATGTTTTATGGGGTGCAGAGGTAGAGAAACCGTCTAAAGAACACAGCCATTATTTCTGTGAACTGAGGATTTCTGTGCTCAAGTCTGAACCTGCTGTTTCTTTTCCATCTGAAGTCTTCATTCTCTCCTCGTATTAACTTAGTCATCTCCACAGCAACTAATTGAAATATCCCAAAGGATTATAACCTTGTGTGAGGAACCACCAGGAGGAGCAGATCAAATTCAAAAACTACAAAGGTTCTTATCAAAGTTTTTCTAATAATAGTGCTGTACTTAAAAATCGATTAAATATAGCAGTGGATGTTAACACAACCTTCTTGAAATGGAAAGTTGCCCATTGTCTGTGTTATCAACATTTCTAGGTCACATCTCCCAAGAAGCAGTAATGTTCCAGCAATAAGAAAAGGACAGTTTTTTGTCTTTTGCATGGTGAGCCTTATATGAATTACATCAATTTTGTCACCAATATCCATCATCAGATCATTCTGGTAAGTAAAGCAGCTAATTTCTGTTGAACATTTATACTGTATATCAGAGTTGCAAAACTTAGATGCCTACAGGGGCTGTGCATATGATATAAATGGCAGGAGTGGGGTGGGCCCATTGAAAGGTGTAAGCCCCTGGCTGTTGCCAGTTGGCTGTTGACATTCACAAATGTTGGCCCACTGTAAATAGATCATTTTTTCCCCTCCCACAAGAAGCTAAAAAATCTGAACTTTTGGGTATAATTATCCAAATTTAAATATTAGCAACTGATTCAAAAATTTTAAAACTGCACTGGTCAAAAAAATACGTCTATGGGCCAAGTTCAGTTTGTGGACTGCCATTTTCTTTTGTCACCTTAGGTATAAAGCAATCCCTGGAATATAACTAAACCACTAATGAAGTTAATGTAGCCATTTCCTGAGCTTCCAGTTTTCTGCAGAATTCAAAGACTGCTTCCGTTGGTTTTGTCCCATTTCTAATGCTGAGAGGTCAGTGCAGGTATTGGATAAACCATGGGAAACAGCAGAGGGTCAAAAGCAAGGGGGCAGGGCAGAAAATGAAGTGGCCCAAATGGTAAAGGTGAATTGCAACATTTAGCAGAACTCATTAGAGGAAAGTCAGACATGCCCCTTTTACTTTAAAGGGCATGAACAGAGCATCCCAGGAGAAGCATGCATGCCATTACCTAATTCTGCCATGGACACAGTTGGGGAAGTCTCGCCGTTGGTGAACGAACAGTAGGGAAAGAAGCCTGATGCTGGTGTGTAGTCACATATTGGTTCTGGTTTGATTCCATTGATATCAAGACCTGACTGGTCTGGGGAAGGCTGTATGTCCAGGTAGAAGCTGCTGACGGCGGAGTCTGCCTTACTCCCCTCAGGGGTGTGCCCGTCAATGTAGTTACTGAGGTCGTCGTGAAGTTCCGTCAGCCCGTTGGCCGAGATGTTGTAGGTGGGCGTCAGCGGCTCGGCCTCTCCAGGCTGCTGCTGGTGGTCGCGCTGCTGCTGCTGCATCCGGTGTTTCTGCACTTCTGCATACAAGCTGTCTCTCTGCTTTTTTGACATTCGGCCAAATTTTACAGCTGGAAGAAAAAAGCCAAACCATACTACATACAATGTGCTTTTCTTCAATATTCTCTCCTGCGAGCTTTGGGGTTTCCTTTGAAGTCTCAGACAATCTCAATCCAAAACTGCATGACCACAAAATAAGGACATATTCAGAGGTGAAAACAGTTCCAACCCACACAGGCTCACTCCAGCTCCCCAACAGCAAACACACATCCCAGGGAAACTCATGTTGCAGAAAGAGACCTGGTGCAGGTAGGAGAGGCCCAGAGAGATGCCATCTCTGTTTTCCTGCTGTCACATCCCCACTCTACCCACTGGGCCCCATTGATAACTTAATGGGCTGTTCACTCTCCCTCTGTGCAGCTGGTTTAGGCTGCCTCTTTCTCTCCCACATGCAGACCAAGGCGCAGGGAAGCAAAGACTCACAGGGTTCGAGGAGTAAAAAGCAGCCAAACCTCAGCGCTCATTCAGTTCACCGCCCTGTGCGCTCTGACGGTCCTCCTTGATCAAATGGCTAATTCTGCAGCTGCATTGTGAGGTCTGAATGAACTGGACGAGGCCTCTCTAATTCTTTGAATTACATCAGAGTACCTGACCCAAGAAGCCCCTCCTCCACTCATAGGTCATGGCAGCCCCTGTGGAACCCTGAGACCCATCTTTTTATTTATTTATTTATTTAGAGACAGAGTCTTGCTCTCTGTCACCCAGGCTGAAGTGCAGTGATGTGAACGTGGCTCACTGCAGCCTCAACCTTCTAAGGTTCAAGCGATCCTCCCACCTCGGCCTCCTAAGTAGCTGGGACCACGTGTGCACACCACCACACCCAGCTAATTTTTTCACTTTATGTAGAGGTGGATTTTTGCTATGTTGCCTTGGCTTGAGGTCTGGAACTCCAGGGCTCAAGCAATCCTCCAGCCGCATCCTCCCAAAGTGCTGGGATTACAAGTGTGAGCCATCACACCCAGCCGGACCCATCTTTAAACACTTTCTGCTGTTCTCATTTAGCCTCAAGTAATCACAGCATCAGGATTTGGAAAGGACAAATATGGTGTTATAATATAAGATCCTTATAATATATAATCCTTGTTGGGCAGATTTCTGTTTGTAATGCTTCTCTTTGGGATGTGTCCCCATATTTAAACTGGAGCCATCACTATAGTAACTTTCCAGTTCATTCAGAATATCAAATGAATTCTTGTGAAACACCAAGATAACTGAAAACAAAAACAAGCAAAAAACCCTATGATTTCCTGGTCTGACTTCTTCCATGAACTCATTGATTTTTCAGCTAGACTCAGCCTTTGCTGGAGGGACTTAGTTCTCCTAATAGATTGTGATTAAATTTATAGCTGATGGGGTGGATGCATCCAGCCATTTGACTAAGATCATAGTTATGAGAGTCCAGGGCAGGAGGCAGGATAGATGGACACGAAGTTGGGAACCAGAGCCCCCACAGTGGCCAGGTGGTGAATTCTTTTCTTGCCAAAGAGGACGCTCTGTCCTTGTTCACAGAGGAAACAAGTGAGCTGGAATACTGGTCACTTTCCAGTTTCCACGACTCAGATAACAAACTTAGGTGGTGCTGCTCAGGCAGCAACCAGGCTGATGTGGGCTCTGAGTTTCAGAACCATAATTTCATAACCTCCAGAATTCATTCTATGCCTACAACAACTTGTGCTATTTCTTGTATGCAAAATTTTCAGAAGGCATACTGAAGGTGCTTAATGTTTTGGAAAACATTTTCTAGGACACCTAAGGGGCCTAATACCCACAGGTGAAACTTTCTGCTGTGACTCTGCAATTATGATTTAACTTTTGTCTTACTATTAACAACGGCAATTATATCCTGTAAGTGAAATAAAGGGACCAGCTCTTGAGAAAATGCACACACAACTTGTGATTTGAACTTACAAATGGAGGAGATATACCTAACTTTGTCGGTTTAGTACCATTAGAAGATGAAATCTGCTGAGTTGCATGTCACAGGAATTTCTGAGAATATGGTGGAAGTTCTGTGATTTGTAACTTCCAATGACAAAAGCTTCACTTTTGTAGTGGTGCACAGAGTGGCCTCTTAGAATATGCAGGAGCAAAAGTGAACTCGTGCCTATGTAGGTCTGCGGGCGCTAAGAACATCAGATTACGGGGAAGGCAGACTGTTGGAAAGCCTGCTCCGCATTCTGAAGTATTTTTCCACAGGCTGAAATTCCATTGGAGGAGACATTTTCCTTCAAAGGGATCTCTTAAGAGAGCCAGCTGGTATATTTGGAAAAAATCCTTAAAATGGACCCGCTGTGCTTTCTGCCCAGTTTCCACGTATAAGCATAACTGTCTTGAAATCTGGTGTCGATTATTCAGTGCACTTAAGATAGTTTTCCAGGAAGATCTTGAAACGTTTTGTACTTGAATGATAGATGATCTCTATTCCTTAAAGTAGCTTCGTTTAATGAAAAGAACACTTGTCATTGAGCCATGCTTTGCACTATTTTCACACATTCTGTATGTACAAATAGTTGGCTTTGGCATGTGATTCAAAATATCCAGTTAGCATAAAAGCGGCTTCATCTCAACCTCCAATAGACTTACTAGTGTAAAGCAAGTAACAGTTGTGGTTCACGTTTCCTACGGGGGAAAATGCCTAGAGGAGGCATCTTTAGTAAGGCCCCAGATGACACTTACCGTCAATCAATCGACCCACCTATAATGGCTGAAATATCAAAAATCTGAAGGTGTTCTGACCACGAGACACTTCTCTTCCACACCACCCCCACCCATCAGCCAGCTGGCTGACACTGAGGATGAGGAGGAGGAGGAAGCGGCTGCTGTGAGTTCTATGAAGCTGCCAGAGGAGCATGGGGGGCGTGAGGTGGAATAATGAGGAGGGGACAGGCGGGGCAGATATTGGCAGATCTGAGTCCAGGTTTTAGAAGGCACTTTCACAACCCCTTGCAACTGTACAACTCAAGCTGTGAGAGCTCACCATCTCGAGACATCCCCACGGCAAGGCATTTCTGTAATCGACAGTGTTGGCAGCGGTTTCTACTGGTTCGATCAATCAAACAGTTCTTCTGACGAGGACAGGAGTAGGTGGCATTGCTTTGCTGACTTCTCCTGAAAAAGCCCTGTGATACAGTTATAAAATATAAAACAGGTTAGTGTCAGAATGAGTGGTATGATACTGAAGGCAGGATGCTAAGCACTGAGTGGCATTAATATTTAATGGAGAATTAAACTTGTAGCAGAATCATCCAGGAGACCATTAATGAAATTAAAGTCACTTCTTTTTCCTTGAGTAAAATTGATCCCCAGGGCCTAATCCTCCATCCCTTATACATGCAAAACTTTCTTTAACTTCAACAGACAGTTGCCCATGTAAAAGGCATAGGACCAGGTCCTTGTTCTTGGCTTCTGATGATCAAAAGCAATGTGCCTGATGGAATGATACAAAGGGACTTACCTTTAGCCTTTATCTCCAAGAGATTTTTTTGTACAATAAACACAAAACACTTCCCTGGAATCTCCAAGTTAAGGAAAAGGCAGCCATACCATAACCTAGGGCACTGTGAACCTGGTGAACCATGGTAATCTTCACTAGCCCACTTCAACACATGGCCCGTTAGGCGTTTCTTACTCCCCAACTTCGAATCTACTATTGCAAGCATTAGATAACACTTGGATGGATTATTTTGGCAGATCAATCAGATTGGAAACATTCCCTCATCCCTGACAGTTTAGAAATACCACATGTTCAGAACCATGGCCTTTAAAGATTGAACAAATCCAGTCCGATGCTCATCAAGTTGCTCTCATGTGTCAAGCGCTGTTTGGGAAATGAGAGGGGATACAAAGATGTATAAGAAGCTACTGACCTCAATAACTTTATTTTTGTTTGTTTGTTTTTGCTAACTTCCTGAGCTGTACTTTTAGCTGATTAATTTTCACTGTTTATTCTTAAAGTGTCAAGTTTTCCTTTTAGTGATGTTTTAAAAGCAACCCCAAAGCTTTACTATGTAGTATTTTCATTCTCATTCAGTGAAAAACATGTTCTAATTTTCAGTAGGTTTCTTCTTTAATCCAGATGTGATTTAGAAGCATATTCCTTAATTTCCAAACACACGGGGGCTTTTTTCAGAGGAGGGGGCAAGGTCTTGCTCTGTCATTCAGGCTGGACTCCTGGGCTCAAGCCATCCTCCTTCCTCAGCCTCCTGAGTAGCTGGGACTATAGGTGCACACCATCATGCCTGGCTAATTTTATATCTATCTATCTATCTATCTATCTATCTATCTATCTATCTATCTATCTATCTGTCAATCAATCAACTTTTTTTTTTGGTCGAGATGGGGGGTCTCACTGTGTTGTCCAGGCCTGTCTTGAACTCCTGGCCTTAAGTGATTCTCCTGCCTGGGCGTCCCAAAGTGTTGGGATTATAGGCATGAGCCACTTTGTTATCTTTTTATTGCTGATTTATCTTTCAGTGGTTTTGCAAGCTAGGGATGTATGCAGAAAATAAATAAGATCAGTAGAGTCATTTCCATGAAGCAAAGCCATGAAGGGTACAAAAGATGATTATTATCTTCAAAGCTTTAATTGTGAAGATAGATGACCCCAACAAGGGCGACACTAGTGGGGAGAGGTAAAATCCTAAAGAATCAACAGAATGGCAGGCAAACTGATAAGGGTGCTCTCCCACCAAACGATTTTTCTGGAGGTCAATTTGGCAGTTGTATGAAAAATTTTTAAAAAGCCTACCCACTGAGCTAATCTTTTAAGGAATACACCTTAAAGAAATATTAAGAATGGTACAAAGATTTTCCTACAAGGGTGTTCTTTACAGTACTATTTATAATATAGAAAATGTAGAAAGATCCTAATTGTCCAACATTACTGAATTAAGAGAGTCATATTGTATACTCATACAATGGAATTCAGCAACCACTACAAATGGTATTTCAGAAATATTGATATAAAAAGGTGATAAAAATATACCATTGAATTTTTAAAAAAGCAACTAAAGAGCTAAACATAGTATAATCCAAGTTTTGGGGGAAAAAGGGTACCCATATATTTACTATAAAAGAAGATTTGGAAAATTATGCCCCAAATTGTTGGCACTAGTTGGTGGGGCCAATCAGATTTTAATTTTCTTTTTGTTTATCTGTGCTTTTTTTTTTTTTTCCCTACAATAGGCAGGTGGGAAGGTATGTGGGCAGCTTGAGAGGAAGTGCACCTGCCTTCCTTTGTAATGGTTGGGGGCCTTTGTTAACCAAGTTGATGTATATGACCTCAGTTTCCAGTTCTTTGGAAAATCCAACCTACGATGGGACGGGGCAGGACCCTGACTTCTCACTCCTCTTGTTTTCAGCCAAGCTGCTTGCTAACCTTGACATAGGCAAGGCTGGGGGCCTCATGTCTCAGACTGTCTCTCTGTTGTACTTTAACTCTACCCTCGATCAAGTCCCGCCTCTTCTGTAAAGCAATCTCTCTCTTCTGAAAAATATCTAAAGCTATGTTTTTTATTTTATTTTATTGTTTGTGTGTGTGTGTTTCCCCTGTGAAAAGGAAGTAAGAAGAAGTAAAGCTTTCTTTGGGGCTTACTAGAGAGAATTCAAGAAAATATAAATGGTCACAGAGGCAGATAATCCTTAGAAAGAGATACCAAGAGGTCAGCTGTCTCGGTATTCATTTTCCTCTGAGACACATAATCTCTGTCCAAGCTGAAAGGTGTTTCTCTCTTTTTTGAGACTCACCTTCATACCCTTGTGTAAAGGCATCGCTGTGGATGCCTAAAATCAGGCATTTATTTGCTTTTCTTTTAGTTGAAGTTGAATTTTGTTTGCTTCACATTAAGCCTGTTACAGTTTCTTCTATGATCACCAAATACGGGGAATGTCTGAATGATTTTTTTAAATCTTTAAGTGGAGCTAGTACTTGAGGGCTGCCATGCTGTTTCCCAGATATCTCTTCTGAAGACCAGATCCCGGCATCTGTCACCTTTCTTTCTAGGCTCCTTTCCACTTCGCATATTTCTTCTCAGAATCCTCTCCAATTTCTTCACTACTTCTTCTTGTTTTCTTTTTTAAAACTGAGGCAGGGTTTTGCTATGTTGTCCAGGCTGGTCTCGAACTCCTAGGCTCAAGCGGTCCTCCCACCTCGGCCCCCCAAGTAGCTGGGATTACAAGTGCGAGCCCCTGTATCTAGTACTGTTTCTTCATTTCTTTCAAAAGTCTGAAATCCAGAACTAGACACAGCTCTTGAATAATGGTTGGGTCATTAGGGAAAAGGATGCCACTTTTTAGTTTGCATACACATATTAAGTTAACTTCCACCCACCATTAATAAAGTCCAGGACTGTTAACGCAGAAACCGTATATTAATCATCAGTTAGCTCTGCTGTTAAGGGCATGAGAATGATGATGACAGATTATCAGTCTTAATGAGTACTTGTATTAAACCATATCTTTTTATTCTGTATTTTGGATGCAGACATCTTAGGGCTTTGCAGACACTGGAGGGACTATCCTTTCAGGGCTGGAAAACTCCTACATACAGCAAACAACCTGCTGTCAGCCACCTCTCACACAAAACCAAGCGGGCCAGAGCCCATATCCAGGACACCTTCTTCATCAGGCCCTTACGCTTCTAGCCATGATTCCCCTGCCCCGGTCACACCAGGGTCAGGTACCAGACAATTAGGGACAGCCCCTACCCCCAGCGCCATCTGTAATGATTCAAACTAGCCACTTATCCTAAACCTGCTCATCCTGCTGCGCCTTCCTTCCTGTGGAAAACAGTGGGGGCTCTTGGCAGTGTTTCTCCACATCCCTCTCCCCTTCACAGACCCTGGCGCTTCCCCGTGTGTCCCCTGTATGGCGTGGCATGGGCCCTGTCTCTAGGGATTTGTGAGTCCAGCAGTCCCTCCTTAATCGCCATTTTGCTTTCCTTGTTTCAGTTACTTGCGTCAACTGCAGTAAAAGAATATTAAGATATTTTGAGAAAGAGAAAAGCAGACAAAGACCATGTTCACATAACTTTTATTACAGTATATTTTTATAATTGTTTTATGTTGTTATTGTTAATCTCTCATCGTGCCTAATTTATAAGTTTAACTTTATCACAGGTCTGGATGTATGGGAGAAAACAGTATCTAAAAGGTTCACAGTTTCAGGCATCCCCCTGAGGCTAAGGGGAACTACTGTGTAACAGACTTCTTCCTTCATGACAGTCATCTCCATATCTGTGTGTCTTACGATACCTGATTAAAACAAATCCCAAGTACCATTAAAACAGCACTGACTTTGTACTAGGCACACTCTATGCTTTATGCAGATTGTGACATTTACTTGTGACAACGGCAATATTGGGCAAATGCTATCATTTCCCTAGTTTTAAGGATGAAAAAACGGAGGCTTAGAGAGGTGTAGTGACTTGCTCAGAGTCCCCGCTCTAGTATGGGGTAAAGCCAGGATATGACTTCACATAGTTTAATGTCAGAACTTACACTGTCATCTTGTTTTGTTTTTCTGCTTCTCTTGTGTGTCAAAAGAATTCCTCCTTAGTTGTTCTCATACAGGGCAAGCATTAAATTAGGTAGTGTAAAAAACAAGTTATACAAAATAAAGTAGCAAGAGCAATCTACTCTGAAATTAGTGTTTTCCCTAACATTAGCACCTTTAGCTGACCCAGCTTCCTACTGCCCAGACATTTTACAAAATCTCATTCTGTAGTTGTCTCCTGATCTGGATTAGGAGTCACATAAGAAAATCAGTCTCATGAGTCCATCATTTTTCCTCATTTCTGACCAGAAGTATTCTGCCCCATTTACTTCACCTTACTTATTTCTAAATCACTTTAGCTCATTTAAACAAACAATGAAACTTACTGCAAGGGCACAGAATAACTATCATTAAAGATGTCTGTGTAATTATGCCATAAATTGCAAGGCAAACTCATGAAGCATTCCGTATGTGCTTTGAGCAGTGGCACTGTGGCTGGAACCAATGTCCAGCTTCCACACTATCTGCTTGGAAAAGGATTACCCTCATTTGCAAGTCACAGTTTGAGGATTTGGGGAAAGCAGGCACGCCTTATTCTTTACAGCATCATTTATACCTCAACTAAGTC